TATATAGGGTATAGATTGGTCGCGTTGTTTTATAGAAACTTGAGCATGTAATGTATGGAACAGATAAACAAATCATGAACGATCCTAAAGCACCATTGTAATCATATCGGGGCCATGGAATTGCGAGCAAATTCTACTGTGTAGTACCGTGTTTGGTATAGGGTTACCATTATCGGTAAAAATGTTTTTTAATCGCGATAATCGATAAATTTGGCATAATAACTCAGTCTCTCCTGTATTCAGCTTTAGATTATACTCGATATTCTAGAAATCAAAAATATTTTCACCTATCAGGGGATATCGGGTGTGAGAATGGAACAATTTAATCACTAAGACAACGAAACGTGAACTGAGGTGGTTCTGCGGGACAGTAAATGAAATTGATCTACACTACGCAGATAAATTAAATCATCTCCTCTTCGATTTTTATCGTTCATAGGTCCGGTAATTGGTTTAGCGCTCTCGCAAACTAGTTAGATGATCTGATATTTCCTGGTTCCCTAGATAACTGCTAGCTCTTCTACTGTTATACGTATCGTTATTGGTGAGTGATGACATGCCTTTATTTACCGGTGAAGACAAATTTCACTGCTTCCTTGAAGTTGATCTTCTCGCTTGTTTTTGTTTTTCACAAGTTTGAAAATAATTTGTCCCACTACTATATTGTATTTCATCAGTATTTGCATTGTTTGAATATACTTTATTATTAGTTTATACATGTTATTGTTACTATATGTTGCTTTATAAGTTGCTATAAGTGCCCATCCTTGGAAAACCCGGTGGATGTCCTTGCTGTACGGCAGTGTTAAACAAGGAACTGAAACCGAGGGGTTCCGTCCAGGCCCTTCACACGTTGTTTCTGTCTGGTTCTAATGTACCGTCATAATATAAGGATGTAAACAATTTGTACGGTTCTTTTGTAACCCATTCTAATCGAGTAAGACTCTGTAGTCTGTCTGCATGCTTAGGCTCTTATTTAAGGCCCTATAATATTCAATAACAAATGCATAATATGGGCGTGGCCCTCCCGGTCGTTGGCTATGGTAAAAATGAGCTCCAACCGAAAATCGTTCATCCATAGCATAAGGAAGGTATGTGCAAAATTTCAGGAGTATCTGAAGATTTGCAGCTGTACCGAACCAAAAATGCACAGAAATGACGGGACTAATAAAATAAACACGATTCCTCGGAGGTTTTCCCATTTCCTCAAAGGTTTTCCCATTTCCTCAGAGCCAAGAAGCTTATTAACCCGGGTGGTACTCACCAATAGAAAACAATTATTCCAAAGCGGGCTCTCAGAATAATTTAGCGCATCCTCTTCCACGAACTTAACGGCAAACCTCATCTTTCAAATGAATTTAATAGTAATGAAATATATGAACGTTAGTGATCGTATAGTAACCGTATTATATAGTAGCTGTATTATGCCTGTATTATAAACACCTCCGGGTTAGAATAATCAGATCTACATATCGGTTTAATTGCAGTAATTTAATTCCGAGTAACACTGCATTACTTGGAGCACCAGTTTCAGAACTTGTCTTGTCGGTTACTCACTTACATTTAATGTCCGGTAAATTTTGTCGTAGCAATTGCACTGTTTGATATGAGCCATGTATTATAGTCGTATACTTTGATGAACTTCGTGACACGATATCAACGATCCACCGTTTGCCAGGCTTAACTCGACGCCCCTTATTGCTTTATTGATATTTATTCATGTCAACGTTCTGACTGAGGAATAATGTTTAACTTTAAATAAAACGCCAATTTAAAATGTCATGCATAGTACCTTTAGCTGTAAAAATACCGTATCGTGGCCAAAAATAATGCCCAATTTCCCAAAAAGAATAAACAGCAAGTTGAACATTTGCATAATAATCCTTGTGTGGCCGACCTTTGCACAGCTTCGCATGCACCCTCTCAGCCCGCCGCCCCGCCCCGCCCCGATAAGATGCCTTACCCGTCCGGTCTTATACTTCCTATCTCCAGTATAAGCGAGTTGAATTAAAAACATTTTAGCCAAACTTTCAAAAATCTTCAAGCCGGCCTAATATATAACCATCGTGTCAAATTTACTGACGGAGTTGAGAGAAATGTAAAACGGAGTTGAACACTGCTCCTTCAGTAATGTGAGTGTAGATCATACTTAGTACTTCACGAGGACGTCATTTATGTCGCTTGCATGTCAGTGTTGTCTGCTCGTGTCCCAGATCTTCTTTACAACACATTGTATTTTGTGAGCTCGTGTCCCAGATCTTCTTTACAACACAATGTATTTTGTGAGCTCGTGTCCCAGATCTTCTTTACAACACATTGTATTTTGTGAGCTCGTGTCCCAGATCTTCTTTACAACACATTGTATTTTGTGAGCTCGTGTCCCAGATCTTCTTTACAACACATTGTATTTTGTCTGCTCGTGTCCCAGATCTTCTCTACAACACATTGTATTTTGTGAGCTCGTTTCCCAGATTTTCTTTACAACACATTGTATTTTGTGAGCTCGTGTCCCAGATCTTCTTTACAACACATTGTATTTTGTCTGCTCGTGTCCCAGATCTTCTCTACAACACATTGTATTTTGTGAGCTCGTTTCCCAGATTTTCTTTACAGCACATTGTATTTTGTGAGCTCGTGTCCCAGATCTTCTTTACAACACATTGTATTTTGTCTGCTCGTGTCCCAGATCTTCTTTACAACACAATGTATTTTGTGAGCTCGTGTCCCAGATCTTCTTTACAACACATTGTATTTCGTCTGCTCGTGTCCCAGATCTTCTTTACAACACATTGTATTTCGTCTGCTCGTGTCCCAGATCTTCTTTACAACACATTGTATTTTGTGAGCTCGTGTCCCAGATCTTCTTTACAACACAATGTATTTTGTGAGCTCGTGTCCCAGATCTTCTTTACAACACAAGCTGTGTCTGGCCGACGCCTATCAGGACTTATTTATTCCGGCCATTGTTCCGAGTGTGCTAAATCAGTTTACACTCTATACCAACTCGCATCGATGTATTTTCGGATTCCGAATCACCCCACACGACAAATCTCAAAGGGTTAAAATGCTCACCTGGCGAGATTACATTTGTCCGGTAAATTTTGTCGTAGCAATTGAACTGTTTGATATCATGAACCATGTATTACAGTCGCCTAATTTGATGAACTTCATGACACGATATCAACTCGATCCACCTTCTATCGCTTGCCAGGCTTAATATTCGACACCCCTTATTGATATTCATTCAACGTTCTGACTGAGGAATAATGTTTAAATATAACGCCAATTTCAAATGTCATATAGTACCTTAGTTTTATTTATCTATTTATCTATAGTACCTTAGTTTTATTTATCTATACGAGTATGATGAACAGACAAAATTGAAGGACAGTGTTACTAAGTGGTTCATTGCGCTGGGAAAAGAACTGAAAATCGACGACAGAGATATTTGTGGAGATATAATGGACAGAGAAATATTTATGGCTCCAACTGTCTATAAAAAGCATCTGGCACTTCGGCTTGTGGAAGCAATAGACCTCGTTCAACGGCATGAATGCCAGATGGGTAAAATGGAGGAGATCATCTATTTCTTGAAGACGGAAGCGTTAGAAGACAAGGATAAGGTGATCAGGCTGCAGGGCCAGCTGCTTGTGCAGAAGGACAAAGAACTACAGTTGTTTAAGACGTCGGTTAAGGAGACAGTGAAAACAACGGTGGAGTCAGGGATTAAGAGCTACAGTGCAGCTGTACAACAGAACAGTGCAAGTGGTACGGTCTGCAACAGTAACATCCTGAAGAAGGTGATGAAGAGTGTGGCTGCAGAGGAGGACAGGAGCAAGAACCTGATTGTGTTTGGGTTGAAAGAAGAAGAGGGAGAACAGCTTCCAGCGCTAGTAACCGCAGTTTTGGAGGAGATTGGGGAGAAACCTCACTTCGAAGCTACTAGAGTCGGCAGGAAGAGGCCAGGTAGTACAACTATCCGACCGGTCAAGATCACTGTCCCAAGTTCAACAGCGGTTCAACAGATTCCAATGAAAACAGGGAGACTGAGGCTAGTTGAGACCCACAAAAATGTATGGATCTGTCCAGATAGATCTAGCGAAGAACGAGCAACGAGGAAACATCTGGTTACTGACCTGAAGAAGAAGAGGGCTGAACAGACTCATCTCGACCACTACATCCGGTACGGGAAAGTCTGTATCCGTGATAAGAAACCACCATGAAGCAATTCATGTCTCTCGGACACTGATCAGTATTTGAATGAGTATTGTGTATCTTAATAGTTTTCGGACGTTATCTGTATTTGAGAGACAATTTTATAATTTATATACTCTATTTCTTGATTGTTTCACACTTCATATTTCATAATTTGTTTCACACTTCATATTTCATAATTTTATTACTAGGTGGAGGTGACGTTATTGAGACTTTGGGCGGCCATAAACCTCGTGTTTTAAAAGTTGTCCTCTGTACTTGTTTCACTGACCCACGCTTTATAGCATTTATACATTTCGGCCCATTTTATATGTTTGTTCGATTTGCTGTACATTTGTATATTTGCTATTTTGTAAAAGTTTCAAATCAAATCAAGTAGTATAAATTATACACGTCCCAATTCCATTTAGGATTGGAATCAGATTAGAGGGCTAGGGTTTCGAATAATCATTCAGGGCGACCTAGACAACGTGTTAAAAAAGTCACGTGACAGTCGAGTGTAGAGTGATAATATCGGTTGGCAACCCTAGTTTGGTCTCCCGTCAGATTTTACAGACGGCGCAATAATTCATTCGAGTTTATTTTTTACGTTATAATTGCTGTACTCTGTAAAGTTTGAAAAGTATTTAATAAATCTATTTTGTTAAGAGTCTTGACTACCACGTTTTTACTGTACCACTCTTCTTTTTTAGGCACAACTTTTAGTAGTAGCTGAGCATCGATAGTTTCATATTTAAAAATGATTTCTTGGTAATTTAATTGATAGATTTTCGATACATAATATTTACAGAAAGTACTGGATCCAGGTTGATCAGCGATGACTTGGAGAGAAAATATGAGTCCTAGTCCAACCACCACAATACTGCTCACTCTGATAGCTTTACTTAACATCTACTTAGTCTTGGCATCCTTCCAGAATAACGGGATGATACGACTACGAGAAATGCCAGACGATTATTTCACAGTTACTCTCAATGCTCAGATTTCAAGAGATAACACTGCAATTACAAACAGTTTCACATGGCCTTATGTTGCTGCAGAACCATCAGCCAATCCTTCACCTAAAAACTTAGACCGAACTTTACAACAATTCGAAAATGTACTGGAAACTTCACAACAATTGGAAAATGTACTGGAAACTTCACAAAAATTGCAAAATTTACTGGAAATGGGATCAGAAGAGAATCGAACAGTAGTGTTGCTAGTTAGTGACTACAGATCAGGGTCTTCTCTGCTGGGTGAAATGTTCAATCAGAACGATGATGTTTTCTACTTGTTTGAACCACTGTTAGGTGTGGTCGGACCACGTGCTCAGAAGAGGTTTCTAGAAAGGTTGTTGAGCTGTAATCCGCTACATTGGGGTTTTTTGCGAAGGAGCAGACAAAGTGGCTGTGGGGAGTTCACGGAGGAAACTCCGGATTACAGGAACTGTCTGAAGAACACAAATCGCACTGCGGAGTGTTTAAAGTACGGTATAACAGTTGCCAAGTTTATTAGGTTAAGAGGGATAGAATCTATCCAAGATTTCGGTATTTTAGACAAACCCAACGTGTTTGTAGTGCACAGTTTCAGAGACCCGAGAGGGACAATAAACTCTCGATTATCATACGACGTGGTGAATTATAACGGTAAGAAGATCCCCCGTGATGGGCTAACAGAGGAAATAGTGGGTAATATAGCAAACTCGCTCTGCTGGAGGTATTATAATGACTCTGTGTTCGGAGACAGTCTCCCCAACAAGTACACCAGGGTCACGTACGAAGACGTCTGCACTGACCCTGAAACCAACATACGTCACGTGTACAAAATGATAGGTCACGAGGCACCCCAACGTGTTCTGGATTGGTTCGCACAGCACACCCACGCTCACAGCATCTCTGCTAAGGACGACAAGATGGGTCTGGAGCGGAACTCTGCGCTGACTGCTGTGCGGTGGAAGGAGGAACTACCACGCGAGTTCATATGTGCTATTGAGAAGAACTGTAGACAGCTGATGGATTATCTTCAGTTAGAATACACTTGCAGCGACAACAATATGTAAATGTAATGATTACTGATAACAATAACATTAGCAATTAGGGTACTGAAGTATTACTATCACTGTTAAGAAGCGTTTTCTTATACAACTTTTAAACAACAAACAAGAGAAGCGATCAATGTTTTCATTCAAATAATAAGGGGCCATCTACTTAGGACGTCCGGCAAATAGGTAGGGGGGGGTGGTTCTGGAATTTCGGACAAATCCGGACAGGGGGAGGGGGGTTTTCTGAAAACGAAAAATTCCAATTAATTACAAATACAACTCTTTGACACTAATTATTCAGTGAATTTGAGTTGGTTTTATTTGTACTTTTAAAAGTAACTGGAAATCCGGACGTCCGGGGAAGGGGGGGGGGGGGGGTGGTGGTTTTGAAAATTCGGACACACCCGGACAGAGGGAGGGCCGGGGGTGGTCTGAAAATTTGCGATTTTGGCGGACGTCCTTTACTGTTTACTGGGCGGCGCTCAGCCTGTCATTCCGCCGAATCTTTATTATACATGTTTATGAACATAATAGCCTGGGGTCCCCAGGTAAGACGTCCTAAGTACTACTTAGGACTACTTAAAGTAGAACTAAATGGCCCCAAACAAGTGGTGTACACCAAATCCAATAAAATATTCAAAACTCCACGAAGAAAATTATAAGACATCCTAAAATGGTGATCATTACCGACTCCGAGTTTGCTAATTTATTGCTTGCTGAATGCTGATGCTCCACTGATTGCTGATTTATGCAAGAATTAACTCGAAAAGAGTACCACGCTTGATTGACGATGTCAACCCATCAAAATCGTTTTTCTGCGAAGCAGAGCAACGATCGACGATGCGAAGCAAAAATGCTAGTTTGCGCGGCGCGTCGAAGCGGCGAAGTCCTCCAAGTACCACGCTTACGGGCCGGATAGACACGCATGGTAATTGGTAAGTATTAAATTGAATGTGATTTCCGTGAAAATATTAACAAGTGATAATGATATAATAATACTTTCAACTTTTAAAGGTGCACACCGCGAATTTTGCAACTTTTGCTAAAATAGTAATAGGGTGTGGTACAGAAACATTGTGCTAGCTATGTTTTGCAGCCTGGGTCTAATTAGATCCGCCCTTACCTGGGGACCTCAGGCTATCATGTTCAAAAACATAGCGAATATTTTAATATATATTTGTTTTATCACAATGCTGGCAAGCATAACCGTTGCCCTTATATTCACAACACTATGTACCCCCTATACTATTATATCCCCTTTATTGTTTTCCAGGCATTAAGACTCATCGAAAGTAGTTCAGCAGGTATATTTAAGTTCAAAACATTCTAATTCAATGTTAAAGATGACAGGAATAAGAAATAGTTATGTGGAGGTTTTTAAGAAATTTGCGCAAAATACGCGCCAGCATGTTATACGAAATTAGGTAAAAAACCCAAAATCGCCATATTCAGGTGCCTTAAAAACCATGTTAAAACTGAGTTAGAGATCTGTAACTTTGCAGAGCGTCTAGACCTTGTCCAAATCGACTGTAAAAAAAAATTCATGTTGCAGGAGTATCGGGAAGTGGGTTTTCTGAAACCCCTGTTTTACAACAGATTGTCGTGAAGCTATATATATATCAACTTAATAACACCAGAATGTGTGTGTGTCTGTGTGTGTGTCTGTGTGTGTGTCTGTGTGTAATTTCCGAACGGTTATACAAAAAAAACGGTAATAGTTACGGGACTGGTTTTTTCGGTATAGTGCCGACAAAACTCTGACGAAGCCAATAAGCAAATTTTATAAAAATCGGCCGGTGGTAAGTGGTTTAATTGATGGTTTTGTACCACAAAATATGTTACATAAAATGGCTTGAGAAGAACGGCAAGAGTTACGGGGCTAGCTCTCTCTCTCTCTCTCTCTGCATATGTAGCGTATATATTACATGGCGTATATATTACATGGTCATATAATACTATAAACTTATTAGGGGAGGGAGTGCTCAAACGGTCTGTTTGGACTGTAGAGAGAGTTCATACTTTCATACGACAATGTAATGCATGTTCACAAATATGATAGGCTGGTGTGGTGCATGGTGTTAAGGGTTAATTTCTATTGATTATTGATTAAGAATTACTATCTTTTAAGCATACTATTGGATACGTGAGGGCACTCCGAATAGAATTGCTCGCCTAATCCGGGTTTTGACTCAGCGGGTAATTACTCCTACCCTTTTTAACTGCGGCAGTGAAATCCCGGCCGTAGGCCGGGTTACACTAGTATATATATATATGTATAGACGCTTTTGCAGTAAATTGTAGCCTACATTTAAGTGTCCGTAGATTCAAAAGTATAAAAGATACAGTCATTTCGAACCACAGGTTTTAAAGATAATTGTTTATACTTTAGTTTACATTATATCGAAAAATAATTTATCGTCATCATCATCACTTGATGACGTCATCAATTTAAGTGTTTTTAAAACTTGATTTTTGACAAAATAACAACTTTTCAAATCGATTTTAAAGCATTAAGGAGTAATTTTATTCAAAATCTGAGGACATTTTCACCTTAGATAATTGTTCAAGCATTCTGAAAATCTACCGGAAAGTTTTCCTACCTTGCTCCTTCATAAAGATATTCGCTATTGAAGTTTGTGCTTTTTTGAAGAATAATTTTATAAAAACACAAAAGTTGTGAATTAGTATTCTCTGGTGTTGGGCCATCCCTTGGGTTGTGGAGCTCAATTTTGCTTTCTAAAGGTCTAAATTGTGTTATAGGCTAGTTTTAAAGTTGAAAATCGAAAAGTTGCACACGTGGGGACACGCCCAAATTCATTTAAAATAGCTAAAATCACTAAAAATTGTTATTTTCACGATTTTTACCAACTTTGGAGTCCCGTTGTGATCCAAGTTCTTTTTGAAATCTTCTGAAACTTTTCATGCTTATCAAACTATATATTAAATAACACTATGCAAAAATTTATGGTGATTCAATATTTTATGCGCACGCAACGTCCGCTCAAAGTTTGCACGTGCGAAAGGTGAGAATTTTGCTCATTCGTGATTTCGAATAAATTCTGCTTTCCCACGATATTAAAATGGCATTATATATGAATTTAATGCCAACTTGAATGAGTAAAAAGTGCTATATTCAGTCTGTTATTGACAGATATGCCTACCTAAACACAAGGAAACGTTTTCAAAGGTAAAATTTCGAAATCGTTGAAATTACCTCCTAATTAAGTTTCGACTGTGTAAATTATCCTGACATTATAATCAAAAAGAGGTGATATTTGACCAAAACCCATAATCATGGGTAGAGTGAACCGCTGCCAGTGTCTCTCTTTTCCAAACAAAAGAAAATGATATTAATTTGAGGAACCGTCCGCAAATGCAAATTGATACCGAAAATGAAATCGGTCGCTCGCTTTTTCCATTCATTCACGGCTTACGTATTGTAATAAAGCTTATTGAATGGGAAAAGCGAGCGACCGATTTCATTCTCGGTATCAATTTGCATTTGCGGACGGTTCCTCAAATTAATATCATTTTCTTTTGTTTGGAAAAGAGAGACACTGGCAGCGGTTCACTCTACCCATGATTATGGGTTTTGGTCAAATTCTACTAATACTATTTGTGATTTGGCGTTGCCTTTAAAAAAGATAAAATATTTTTAACGCCTCCAATTCCGATTCTACAAATTTTTTGGCGCCTCCTCTGATTTATTAGTTGTAGGTTTATTATATTGATCATTACTGGGCCACGCTCAACATGTCATTCCGCCTAATCTCTATGTTTATAAACATAATAGCCTGCGTGCTGAGGTAAATTTATTGATTGACGATGTCAACCCTTCCAGATCGTTGCTCTGCAATGCTAGTTTGCGCGGCGCGTCGAAGCTGCGAATTCCTCCAATCACCAATAGGTTTATAACCTACCGTACCAAGACGCGCGCCGAGTCGAACTGATACACGCTCGGTCTCTTAATATTTTAAAAAAATACTGCTTACTAGTTTAATTTGACCATTGTTAATGATCTGGCCCGGCGCGCGCTACTTCGTAGCACTTGCCATCTTCGAGAAGAAAGCGGCGCGCGCTACTTTGAAGTAATTTAGACGAGTAACATCCGTCAAACATTTAATGCCATCATGTGCGGCCGGCTGTGTTTTAGCTATCTTCATGCATATTTTCTGATATGCCAAGTTAAAAAACATGGCTTTTTGGCTCAAAAATCGGTCTTTTTTGCGATTTTACCTGGAGAAATTTTGTATCACGTGGTGACCCCCACTGTCGCTTCACTATAGTGTATATCGTCTTCGACGATACAGGCGGGTCATACAACGTATGACAAGAGAAATTAGCGAGAAATTATCCATTTTTCGTCAATATTACATTTACACACTCGCAATGCACAGGAGGCCCACATAATTATATTGCAAAGATATGATCCAAAATAAAGAATTGTTGTTGTATTTTTGTGTTGACTTTATCATTTATCTGAGGAAAAATGGACTTACTGCCTTTCTAGAGAGGAATCGGTTGAAATCAATTCTGATAAAAGGCAGTAAGTATTTTGGAGAAAAATGGTTTTTATAGATCAGAGATGGTGAATTTATGCTTTTAAGCATGTTGAGGACATATTATGACAATAATTTATTTACGCATAAATGTCAAAATTAACCCCTTTTTATGCGAGTAAAATTACCTCAAAAACGACAAACACGTTTGTCCCATTTTCTCAAAATGGCATCGATGTGACTTACTGCCTTTTCTCAGGGAACGGCAGAATACATAGGTAACGGAAATGGTGCATTGCTATCAATTGAACTATAAATAATCAAATACATACACACAAATTTCCAAAACACATCATATACTCCATTATCGGGGTAGGGATGAGGTTGTACGAGACTTCTGATAGAGGGGTTTCATGTTTGATGTCAATCTTCTTGCTTCTGTACCCACGAAGAGCGATAACAGTTGTGCTTAGCATAGCAAATTTTATCTTCATTCATGCCTTACTACATCACAGTACATCTCCTTCCTCTTTCTTGCTATGAGATCTGCTAATCTGTTGACAAATTGTTGAATTCCAGTTCTTGGTACTAGATCTTCCTGCT